AAAATACATTTCTTATTGTTATTTCTTAATAGCGTTTGGCACATTACTTCACTGAAGCCTACAGTACAATCAGAGTTAAAAGGAAAATACTTCAGTGAAATTATTTACTACAAAAATATCAAAACATGAGCATTAGCCATCTTACCTAAATTTTTAAGATAAAATGGCCATAAGGAATAGATAACCCATACATATTTTATGTTCAAGATTTTGTACCTGTTATTTTATAAAATAATGAAAAAAACATAATTTAACATATGCATTTTAATATAGGATATTTAATATTATTTGTGAAAAATATAATACACATATAAAATAGAAATCTCTATTACAAAATTTAAATTCTAAATCAAATTTTTGATCAAAACATATTGCACATAGCAATTACTGTAATATTGAAAGTAATTTTTGAAATATAACGACTTTTGTTTTATAAATATTAGAATGATAGCCATTTTATCCAAAATGTGAGTGAAAGACGGTTATAATAGTACTTATAAACAAATAGTGAAGACGAAAATAAAAATGCATGTTATATTACAATTTACATACCTACTTTATGTATCTAACATTGATTGCGATAGCTTAACTGTAATTTATTTGACGTTACAGCAAGTTTTAGTGGACACATGAGAAATTTTACAGATAGTCGAAAGTAAAAATGTAATATTTATAATCTTGCCGTTTTCGAAAAATGTTTTCGCTCATGCACTACGATAAATATCGATTATCTTTGTGACTGATTACACAAACGCAATGTTTTGCAATTATTAGAGAAATTACAGCCTATGGCCATCTTTCCGATATGGCCATCATACCCGAGTTTACCCTATCTGAGATATTTAAAAATCTTGCTCGCTTAATTCTATAATTTAGAAAATAACAGAAATTATCAATTTTGCCGAATTTATCGTGGTAGCTAACTGATCTCCCCTACACTGATTCTTCAGAATGTATATATTAGAAAGTTTAGGTCAAAAGTGGAAGACTTCGATTCGTTGTTTATAGGAGCAAACTACTCTTTTTCGCGAATGCAGAAAAGAGAGATGTCGCGATATTACGTCTACTCTTCTTGTCGACTGCATACATATACACATTGTCGGCAAATCGGAAAGAGAAAGCGAGTCTGAGGACGGCAACGGATGCAATCAACAGGATCAAAAGAGCGGCCGGAGTCGGGGCGAGCGCGCGCGGCTCAAAAATGATTTAATCCACTGGCGTTTATTTCCTCCTTATCCCGTCTCTGTACTTTTTATCAAACGCGCCGCTACCAACTGCCGGGTGACAAGTGTTCAGAGATAAGTACCATGGCTACGACGCAAGAAAAGGGACGGCGAAATTGCATCGTGCCTCTGCACAAAGTAGAAAATATGCACCGCCGAATGCACGGCGGGGGAGCGCATCATGAAGCGTATCTCGCGCTATGTATTATATACAAAAGAGACTAGCGCGCGCGTGCGCTTGGTAACAAAATCGGCCCGGAGTCACTACAGAATTCATAAGCGACCGAAGGAAGCGCAGAGGGCGGGAGGGTGAAAGAGGGAGGGAGGAAGAGAGACGGAGAGAGAGAGAGAGAGAGAGACAGAGAGAAAGCATCGAAGCTCGTCGATAATACGCCAGCCGAAACGATAGCCGCTGAAATATTTCGACGCATAGCTCGCAGCGCGTCCGCCAGGATCTTCGCGTCTCGTTCCTGAGATACCGGACTTGTCGTATCATCAGCATTCTTCTTTCGCTCGGCGCTTATCCGACGTTGAAAGGGGAGGTCGCGCGTCACAGACCACCCTCGACAACATTCAGACGACGCGACGGGTCCGCCCTTTCCGCCCCATCTGCGTGGCGCGGCAGTCTCGCGATTTCGTTACCTTAATTACGAAATTCTGCGCTTCAAACGAGCGTCTCGCGTCGAAACTTTCAACGAAGTTTGCCCCGTCAACTTTCGCACGTCCGAGGCCGTTGCCCGCCTTGATGCACCGCGCGACTTGCCCCTTTCCCCCTCGACGCACACGCCGAAGTTTTTCGCTCGCGCGACTTGCCGCGCTGCTCATCCTCTCGCGCGCGGCCGAAGAAATATTCAAAAGTCCGTGCTGCGCACGCTCGCGCAAACTTCGCCCCGCACGTGCGCTCGCGCGCAAAGTGCAGTCACGGGGTGGTTTATTAATAGGAGGAAGCGCGACCCCTCTCGGAGTCACGGCTTTCGAAGATAAACGGGAAAATAACGCCGGTTGGAGTCGTACGTACACGCACGCACGCATACACCCACATGTGCACACACATACACACCTACACGTACGAAGTACGATTGGGGTGAACGCCGGGAGAGTGGCCGGGGATGGCTGGAAAGACGGCACGAAGCAAGCGAGTAGAATTGTGTCGCTACTCGGGAGGAGTAGGAGAGAAGCGGAAGGGAGAAAGGTGGAATTCCAGTCGCATAAAATACGACATACTGCATAAAGAACTCGAGGACTTGAATTTACAAAGCGACATGCGCGCGCCGCGTACATCCAGCCCCGGCGGTAAGAACTCGGAAAAACACGACATTACGGCGAATCTGACGGATGGGTTTTCGTCTGTCACGAGAGTATCATTTCTCGTCTTCGCCCTTGCGAAGATAGTTCTCTCTCTCTCTCTCTCTCTCTCTCTCTCTCTCTCTCTCTCTCTCTCTCTCTCTCTCTCACACACACACACACACACATATATGTCGAGAAAACTTCGCGAACGACAAGGGTTACTACAGATATCCTCCCCCGTCTCATGCATCATTTATTGAAGTTTGGCGTCCCCTTTTTAACGGCGCGGCCACTGCAATGTTCGCCGCGTCTCATATAATAATGAGAACTTCATCCGCAGTGCCGGCGTTGTTTGCCAACACGCCTGTTTACATTTAATTCCATTTCGACACGATAGCCCGTAATCAAGTTCGCGATAATCTCGAAGCCGCCGCGCCGATATTAACTTCGTCTCTAAACGATATTTGTTCGCTTCGCTCCGCCGTGCACGCGATACAACGTGCGCGGCCCCCGCGCAGAATCGGTGCAATCACGTCGGAACATCGGACGAGTTGCATTACCGCCGTTCCCCCATCCCCCTCACTGCGCCCCTCTCCCTCCCCCTACGCCCGTAACGTCGCATTTACTCTTCTCATTTCGCCCTCCAAGTCATTGCGTCCTCCGATTGCGACGTAACGATGCACCACCACCGGACGCGCATTGCCGCCACCATGCACGCTCATGTTTCTCTCTCTTCCTCTCTTTATCAAGATTGCCAGGAAATAAAGCATCAATTCGAAACACCTAAAGCACCACATTCCGCCAATCTCAAAGACAAATGTGTCACGCAGCGCCAAATTCGAAAAATACTTTGGAAACTTGAAAGTCAGCTTACGATACTTGGTAATATTCGCAAACCGACGTTGAACAAGCGGCAGTGTACAAATTTCAAAAGATAAGGAAATTATTCAATTGTGTCGGCATCTATTTTACTGTCAAAGACATTTGCGATATTTATACACGCGGAGAGAATATTGTAGCAAAAATTATAGTGCAATTTCAGTAGTCCAAGAGTAGATTGGCGCTGTTACCAAAAAATTATAATAAAACATAGTAAAAATGACTATGACTAAATGTGATAACTCTTACTACATTTAATTTACATAGTAATTTTTACTATGTTTTATTATAATTTTCATAATAACGTCAGTCTATTTCCGACCTCCTAAAGTTACATTTTTGCAACAATATTCTCTCCGTATGGAGAAGGTTAAACGTTTTGTAATATTAAAACTAAAAGTACCATCCACTTTATATTACAGCCACGTTTCGCGTATAATTATTATTTATTAGAATATAACCAAAATTTGCAGTTATTATCGATAAATATAAATTATTCATAATATGTAATACAAACCATGATTACGTAATATGTAATCATGATTTTATTGACATTTCAATAAAATTAAATATTGATTTTAATGTGAAGCTCATAAAACTCGATCGAAATTGATTGATAGATAACAGGAAAATACTACAATATATTCATAATTTCGCAGTAGTTTCTGTCTGATAATAAAGAGAGAGATTCTCTCTTTTTAAATTCTCCCAACTTGAATCGAATTCTAACGTCGTGAATACCGGCTCTAAACCAATCCTCTGAAACGTCACTTTGCGCCAAATTCTGTTCTCATTACACCGAAATTACGTCAAGCGCAAAAATAAAAATTTTGTGCACTAACTCAACATGTCAAAGGGCCACTTTGGCGGAATTACGCCGACCTGGCAACCCTGCTCTCTCTCTCTCTCTCTCTCTCTCTCTCTCTCTCTCTCTCTCTCCCCTCTCTATCTCTTTCGCGAGAAGTCGCTCTCTTTATGATTTACCGGGCACGTAATTACCATGCACGCGTATCCTTGCCACCTGTGCTTTGGATTTATGTTATCCTTTCTTTTTTCCTTTTCAGCAGGGAGGAATCACTTGCAGCGCGAATGAGAAGCTCACGCTCGTTAACGCGCTGAATGATCGAAGGTAACGGTGTTTCCCCCCGTTAGCGAGAAACAAGCAGTCACCTTATTCCTTAATGGACAGATTTTTCCGCGCCTCCTGGTTCCCTTGAGCCTTTCCGGATCGTTAGTCGGGGGTTAGTTGGCGAATTAATCGCGACTGGCGCAAGTGCGATCGAACAAATCGACGCGACCGCGAGAGAAAAATGTGTTCGCAGCAAGGCGGCTGTGCTCGCCTCTTTCATTCATATTTCAAGCTTGCGACGCGACGAATCGGTAGTTCCACGCCCGACGTCGGAAACGTCGCGACAAATGCCATTCATCCTTCCCCGATGCTGGAATCGGAAAGTTACTTCCAATGCAATTGGATTCGATCGTCGCGCGAGAAACGTTGCTCGGCGAGCGACGGTGGTTTTCTTCCGTCGTTCTTTTTTCATTTCTCCTCTCTATCCTCTCTAGCTATCTATCTCTCTATCTATCTATCTATCTCTCTCTCTTTCTCCCCAGGTGAAGCCCGATTCAGAAATGATGTTTGAACAGCACGGACTGTTGTCGACGATATCGAGTCTGCTGCTTGAGCTGAAACCGGGTCATCTCGCCAGCGACAAGATAAACGTCAGGTAATTTCGCTCTCTTTACAACGTAGTATATTTCCGTCGTTCGACGGCCGTTGCTTATGGCACCTCGGGCACCCCAATAAATATACAACGCCCGGCCGCGGCGCAAGCACCGGTCCGTTTTACGCGAATCCCGCGCTATGGGCCGCGATAATTTTACCCTTCCGTCCGGCCGGAGAACCACCGCGCTAACTCCGCACACCATGATCGAATGTCTTGTTACAGGTGCGAGGCGACGGTGCGATCGACCCACGACATCGACGAGCCGTTCGTCGACACGCGCAACACCGAGGTCTTCGGTAAGTCCACGTGAGAGCGCGACACAATCGATACGATTGGCGATACGACGACGACGACGACGACGAGCCGGGGGAGCATCACGGAATCGCACAGAAATAACGATTATCGGTGGCATCACGCCGGAGAGACGTCACGCTCTCCGCCAACCATTGGCCATTTTTAGCCGGAAAAATAAATAAAAAAAGCTTACAAAGTCACGCTCGTAAAAAAGCAACTAACAAATTCGGAGCGAAATTTAGCACTCAACTAGGACTTGCGACTTTCGTCTATTAGGATAGAGTTAGGTTGGGGTTAGCTCGTTTCAGACGACCCTACTTTCAGCTTCACTATACCATTCAACACTTATTTTGACGATAAAAAAAGTGAAAAGGGAAATTTCGGACACTATCAAAATCAAAGTAAGAATAAATTTACTTTACTAACTTTACTAACTTAGCTCCTACTGCGTTATAGAATTCAAGGTTTAATATAAAGCCAAAAACTCGGCTCAGCAGAAAAAATTTTTTAAGTTTGATCGTTAAGACTCGTCTACGCGGAGTGAACTTGACGCAAGTTGAAGTAAGAAATAAAAGTAACTTATTTTGTTCACGTCCCCCTATATTCTAACTCCCTTACGCCAGAAGTAATTTCTCTTGAATGAGCGAGCTAGAATGTAGATGTAAGCGAAATAAATTATTATTTCTTACTTATTCTCTCTACAAGAATATTATAAACCTTCGTCGAAGAAAGAGTTAATTCTACGTAGTGAGCAGCCGCGAAATTTTATTCTTATTTAATATTCTTGATTGAAATGTTAAAGTTTGATACTTTCGGTGAACTTCTGACAAATTTGCAGATATATTCCAACTCTTGAAGTATTTGAACAAAATAACATTTACTTGCACGCAGTATGTATTTTTCTGTGTGTACACTCAGAGAAAAGATATCTAAGAGATAGAAAAATATTTGTATTCGCGCGGCGAATACTAACAACTGATTTACTTATAGTAAAATAATTATTATAGTATAATAATAATTAAAAATAACTATAGTGAGTAACAATTTTACTTACAATAAAGTATAAAATATTTTTTTCATATAAATATCAAAAAATACAAATTTTCAACAAAACTTTAGACTTTTCATGAAAGCAATTGTTTATTCTGTCCAAATAAAAGAATTTAGATTTAAGTAAATATTTTATCAGTGCGTCCGCCGAATACATATTTGCTATTCTTTTGGATGTTTTTTCTCTCAGCGTACCTTCGCTAACAAGACATGACGATTAAACAATAGTCGTCCACACACAGCGCGAGCGTTTGCTAAATTACTCATAAATATAAGTAACGGCCGTACAGTTCTGCAATACGGGAATAACAAACCGCGGTGGACAGGCTCGAAAAGAGGAATCTTAATTGCCAACGTGCATCCCCGTAGCCGAGCGCGGCGACAGAGGGAAATTACGTCGCCGTTACCCGGGCGGACTTCGATTCTCCGTCCGCGACAGCTTCGATTACCGATATCGCCTCGTTCGCTCGGCTCCGAGGGCGGCGCGACCGCGCTCTCGAGAAAATTTACATGCTTTATTATTTCCCAGCATGGGAAATTAGCGAGGACCGCGCGAAGGGGGACGGCGGGCCCCGAGAGCGAGTCGGGCGAGTCGAGTTGGTGGCTGCTGGCTCTCCCGTGGGGGTGGCGCGCTGCGCGGAGAAATTAAGACAATAATTTACAACCGTTACCACCTGCTCTCGTGCAACGCCTGGCCCGGCTCTGCACCTGCAGCTACTTTAACCTTTCCGCCTCCTCCCCTCGCCTATCGTATTCGCCGACGATCGCGCGTTCGTTACCGTCCTCTAATTCCTACTTAAATTAGCTCCGACCGCTCTTCGCTCTTCTCACTCCGCCGCAGCCGGGGCTTTCTTTCTCCTCCTAGTCCTTTCGCGGAAGATCAGAGGTGCCGATTATGAGAACGACCCGACGGTCGAAATTTTAACCCTACCGTCGACTTGAACTTTCTAACATCTATCCTGAAGGATCAGTGTACGTTTATTAATCCTAAATACGAGTAAAACTTACGCTGGTCAACCTCTCAAACCATTATCCCGTTTTTAAAAACATGTATTTAGGTTTTTTTATTATAACTTTTTTCAACTTCATTGAATCGCAGAAGCTTTCATGGATTCATATTCCTCGACGGACTTTTAAAATCGTTTGAAACAAAGCATTGAATTTTGATCATTTTTACGGAAGTTGCGTGCAAATGGAAATGCGTTGGATGAAATTTACCCTACGTTTACGTAACTTTTTGATATTTAAAGTTCTAGGGTCAATACACATGAAAACAGATCCTACTTAGCATCTCTAGATGGCAGAAAACGTGCAAAATGTTGCTAGTAGCTTCTAGGGAGGATCTCTTGACAAAGTCAGGAGGTTAAGTAGAATCTGAAGGTCGATTCAGAGTATCAAAGTAGGCGCGTCAAGTGGAATATTGAGGTCGAAAGAAGGAAGGAACAAAAAATTGGACTCGGGCAGCTGCCGTGATACCAGCAACGGCGATAAACGCGAAATTACAGACGCAACGAGCGCGTGCGGAAACGCTTCGTTTCCTCGTGGCGATGGTTGACACGACGGGAACTGGCGGGCAAAACGCGGCCTGCGCGAATCAAGGGATACGTGATTCATCAGATCGTACACACCGGCGGTGTCGGTCTGTCGGTCGGTCGGTCGGTCGGTCGGTCGGTCGGTTGGTCGGTCGGTCGGTCGGTGTACTCACATTCCCACCAGAGTTTCGCCCGCGTCGCGGCACAGCCGCAACGCGATTAAATATTTATCAACTAATCCCTCGCGTCACGCAATTCGAGTTACGATAAGAAATTCACGATTCGCGCGGCGTTACAGCGCGAATGTGGGCGAGCGCGTGTGGGTGTCAATATGTATCGCGTGAGTTGCACACACCGCGATAATGCCATTCAACCCGCCGTGTGCGGCATTCAGCAATCATAAAGGACAAACGGGTTTATCCGTTTCCGGATCAGGTTCCAGCAGCTTGACGTTTATCAGCTCGGGATTTCGTTAGCGCTCCCGCGATTTTCGTCTCTCTGACTGCGCTCGACTTTCCGTTCGATTTCCACGATCGAAATGAGGAGAGAGAGAGGGAGAGGGAGGACAGAAACCTGTGCGAGAGCAGCGGTGGGTGTCGCGGGTCGTTGCACCTTCATCAATTGCGATGTACGCGACATCGCGTTTCATCCGGTATCTCTATCTCGATCGCTTCTGCGGGGATTTATCGAGGTCAGACGTGGGGACCAAAGAGAATATACGTGGGTCGTTCAAAAAGTACGTGATCTAATACAGAGACAGCGCGAATTTGGCCAAATCTTCGTATTTCAGAGCTTTATTAAGTTAACTATGACCGTGCAGAGTGAACTGTCGATTAGTTTTTGTTCGACAATGTGCCGAACTGAGCTCTGCGAGCGATTGCTTCTACGTTTCGTCACACCAGCAAAGACCGAACTGCTTCATTGTTCCTCGCACCTCTTGTAGCGCGATTTCGCCGTACAATCTAAAAGATTGACTTTTAACAACGATTTATAACCGTCGGTGAAACCTGGGTCTATTACTTTGCTCCAAAAACAGAAAACAGTCGAAACAACGAACGCATAGAAACGCTCGAGGCATTCGCACGCATTCGCGCACTATCAAACAAACACTAATCGACAGATTATTTTATGCTGTCATATCTAATGCTCAATGCTTAATCTTATGCACAATCTATTAAAGGATTGAAATATAATGGCAAAGATTTAACTAAATTCACGCGCTATCTGTATCAGATCACGTACATTATCAAACGTCTCACATATTCGCGGGAATCAGAGACCTTTTTATCCCTCTATTTGATTCTATATGATACGTTAAAAAGAACATGTGACGCATAATAAGAATACGGGAATCTGACATCGTTAATGTTAATCTGGTCTCTAAATGAGAAGTGAACTAAGTTTAACTTGATAATAAATGAATAAAATATAGAGAACTTAAGGGGATGCTGGAGCTGAAAACTTTACCGACTAAATACTGATATTTTTCTGCAAAGTTTATATCGTATTGGTTGTACAGAATTAAATGCTTTTGCAGTGAAAGTACGTGCAAAAATAGAGCATTGCTCAATATGTGACAAAAATACAAAAGAATTTTAAGTGTAAAATCTCAAGCTGTCAGCGTAATATTTGCCTGATTCAAATGTTCCGCAGCTTGTATATACTGAATGTGGATGCTTCAAACAGACAAATTTTCAAGAACATTGCTGTACCCTGAATTCAGAATATCGGACAAATTTGCAGAAAGATTTTTGTACATGCATGCTTAGGTTCTTCGCTGAATATTGTAAAATAAAGCAACACACATTTACGTAAAGTCCAGTGCCCACGGAACGTGATTTGAAGTTGTTTTCCTTGCCATGCATGCCGCTAAGTTCGTTCTTAGCGAGAAATGTAGCTTTCGGCGTGTTCCGTCGCGAGTTTGACGGTTAGTTTTTCCAAACAAATTCGCTGTTATTTTCCAAGCGTGTTACTAAAATTTGAACTGGCAAATATAGTGCAATTATATGACTGACGTCAGCTGACATTCGGTCATTCTGATCGCACGGATCGTATCGGGATCCAAATCACGCTCAATGGACATTAGACTTAAGTTCTGCGTTAAGTTTCTACAAGAAATACGAAGAGGATAGCGTGATTGCGATCGTCCCGACTTTTTCGAATTCGTCATTGGCTTCAGTAATGCCCCTTGATATGCGCGAAATGCTTACAGACACGCAGGACACCTGATCACGCCGCGAGAAAGCTGGTTTCCCCGTCGATGAGGATTCATACTAATATTATTCGTCCGATGAACCGTAAATCACGACGCTTTCGTCGGGGCGCTCGTTCGCACGCGGCGCGACACGGCGACGGCAATATTTCATAGCGATGTAAGCAGACTATTTTTCGTGGGAACGCGCAGACATTCGTACAGTTGA